CGTATACATAGAGAGGCATTTCAACATAAAAGTTTGGTAAATATGGGAAGTAAAACAAAAAATAATTCTAGCCCTCGGTTGACAATTTCAACGGATAATACCAGCCAGTTTTCTTGGAAGAAATTCAATAAGAAAAGAATGGTGCATATACCATATGGTACCATTGTTGCAATTGGAGGAATGCATTTTACCAGTCTCTCCATTGTTTCTGCGCTAAATTCACCGCAAACTGTACCAAAATCAACACAAAATTCGTGTTGGCTGGCGTTTTTCTTCCTATAATAAGCAAAAGTAACACAGGAACACAAATATGTCTATCAGGGTAGGTCGTAGGCGCAATATGCAGATGAATGGTACTGCTTGAAGAATTAAGATTCCATTGGTCACGGTCATTTAATGCTCCCGCATCAAAGAAAAAAATAGCAACCCCCCTTTAATATCTTGAAAATACCGATGTTACAAATCGTCCCCCCTCCCTGCTAAAAAACTCCACCCTCGCCCAAAACACATGTGCAGCTTACTTCCCCCGATAAAACGCTTTCATTCTATGTGAGCTAATTCACCAGCCTCAAAAGCCTGCTCGTTGTAAAACCGTTTGAACCCGTGTACTAATCAACGTAGCACAAATTGCAATTTCTCAGGATGAGAATGGGCACTTTTGGGCACAAGATTTGAGCAACTGGCCAGGACTGCCAAACTGAACAAGGATTCGTATATTGATGAAATGTTTATTTCAGTCGTATTATATCATATTATTGGGCAACACTACGTCTAGCGCACAATAGATTTGGTGTTATTGTTGTCAAGCGGCTCCTTCAAGGCGGTTTTTCATCTAGTTTTAAATAGATAATGGGTGATTCTGCTTCACTATCTTGCAACGATGGTTGAAGTGTTGCACATTATCCGCGGCTAAACAAAGAAACCTAATCAAAGTTGCGCGTCTTCCTGGGAATTACTGTGTCATCATCTGACGTCATAATGGCAAAAGTTACTCATTTACAAGGGGCGGGTGAGGTGGAGGGTAGAAATAACACACTTGGATAAAGCCCGGCATTCAAAGCAGCCGTGTGCATGTGCTGAGTCCTTGTTTTCACTATTCACCTCATATCGCGAGAGGGGAATACTGTCTTTGGAGAGTCAAATGAGATCATGGAACACTCCGTCTCTCACCTCGTAAGTTGCTCCCCCATGCTACCGTTCTCAGGACAAACGCCCTATGAGCTTTCAGGCGTTGCCAGATTTCCCTCAATATAAACCGAGTTTACTGGAAATTTTGTGCATGTTTTGCTTCAAAATTTTCCAGACGTATTTTGTTCGCAATTTGATCTAAAATACCTGAAAATTTCGAGGACAAATATTAATAACTCTCCTAAAAAATAAATTATTAATCTGAAGAAATTTGGCAACCATCGAATGTTCATACGGCGTTTTCCCTTAGCACGGAAGCAAATTCGTAGTCTACCTCACTTTGAGGCGGCCATCTTGAAAAAATGGTGAAATACATCCAAAAACATATTCCATAAAAGTTTACTTAATATAGGATGGTTTTGTTTGATTTCATCAAAAATTTACATTGGAGCTTCATGCATGTTTAGTTAATACTCAATTTTTTTTTTTCACATAAGAATGTTAAGGAAGTTTTTATTTAAATTGTATTAAATGAAATCTTAATACTTTTTTCCCAGACATTAAATTCGTTTTGAGACATAGCTTTCTTCACTCGTTAATATTGCATGCATTTGTTTGAAATTCAGCGTGCAACATTCAAAGGTTTTTCACTTGATGCTTGTCTCCGCTTAAATTTTACAAATTATTTTCTTTTAAATAGGACATATTTTGAAGACCCGTAGCTACATTAAAAAGAGGGGACGTTTCAAAGAGTGGCGGCGAGGGAGAGAGAGCTGAAACTTGATACATTTTCTTTTACATTTCCTCTCGTGTGTATACTTATCCTCTGACATTTTCTGACCTCTCTTTATTTCAGCATTTGCGGCTCGCTAAGCTTCTTTGCAATTTTTCCGGTTCCTCAAAACAAATAGGGAGCTTTAGCCCCCTTCGTTAAGATGCCGCGCCGCACAATGTGGTAACCGATCTGAAAATCTTGCCATATTTTTTCAACAGCTACGGCTGCTCAATTTATCGAAAAGATTACAGATTAATTAGAAATTATTTATTGAAAAGATTACAAATCAGAACCAGATACTGGACATGTTATTGGATTAGGTCCATCCATTGGTGCCCAAATTTTGTTTAAAAAGAATGCCTACATTTTGGGGTTTTTCCCACTTATTTTTATTACTTATCCTCGAAGAGATCCATCCTCGTGGTTCAATTATTTACTTCTTTAAATTTACACAAAGACTCATATTTCCCTCCCGGTTGACCTAAGACCCTCACGGTTTTAATAGTCTGGACCATAATTATAACCTCTTTTTGGATCGGCTGATCTACGGTTAACAAATGTACCAGACACATTATGCCTCTAGGTGTGGGCTAAAGTAGTGCGCTCACGTCGAGTGCGTGACATTGCATCCACCTGCGATGCATCCACCCCTATGTAACTTCCTAATCTAACCTAATCTAACCTAACCTAACCTTACCTAACCTAACCTAACCTAACCAAACGGCTGGGTTGATGAATCGCAGGTGAATGCAACGTCCTGAGCCCCGCTCACGTCCCTTTCCATCTCTTTCTGAAAACCTAAAAAAGGATACTTTAAAATCCCATTATGCAAAGTATACCAGTCGTATTAGTGTTTCCAGTATTTTATTTTATTTTTTCTTTTTCTCATAAGTCTCCGAGATTATTGCACACCGGAACCAACAGAAGAAAAAGTATGGGACTCGCGAAATAGATCAAACTAATTGCAGTAAAATAATCGACTGACCAGTCAGTGAGAGACTAGATCTGAGAACGTCATATTGATACTACCTAATGTAAAAAAAAAAAAAAAAAAAAAAAAAAAAAAAAAAAAAAAATTGTATTCAAAAGATAACATTAGCATTTCTAAAAAATTGTTTTTTAATTGGGGTTTGGCCAGGTTTTACGGTCAAATATCACCGTGTGCGCCGGAGGCTACATTACTTTACTATTAGAGCAACCCACAACGCTCTACGGACTAAAAAAAAGTTCCGAGCCGAAGCCTCATCTCGGAGCATCTACCGATCTCATGAAATCGTGATTATCTTTCAGCGATATTTTCTTCTCTCTTTGCCCGCAAATACAGAAGAGTGACTTGTTATCTTTTATTGCAACAAGACTTTCTTGGGGAGCCTTTTCACTTTAATCTGCCATCCCTCCACTATCTCCGTCCCGGGGCAAGTTGCGCAGCAAATTACAAACTTCTCGTGAGTGTAATTCCTCAGTTGCCCTTCCACCTGACGTTGCTGCTCCTCCCCCCCCTGCCCCCTCCCCTAAACTAAATAAAAATTCCCGCCAGCATCCTCGACCCCGGCCCGACTCATTCTTATGCATCATTATACGTTACAATTATTTTAACGCTGAGGAAAAGTTAGCCTATCTTTAATCTTATTGCGCCAAGTTTCATTCAAGGCCCCCGACTGAGTCACCATCGGCTGTGTGCCGTTATAATTGAAATATTATGAGAGAAAAATATTTACCCTCGGCGATTCTTATTCATTTTCCCGACTCAGTTGCGTCTTTGGAAGGAAAACTCACCCCCGGAATGGCTCAGGGCGAAAATTAAGAATGAAAAAAAAAAAAAAAAAAAAAAAAAAAAAAAAAACTGGGAGAGCGAATGCAGTCATTATATCGACTGCATTTTGCTATGAGGCGCTACTATTTCTGACTCATCCGTAAAAGTATCTTCCTGCCCAGGGAAACTAACGGCATATACTTTGTCCCTAATAAGAGTCAACATGACAATTTTTTATTTGAAGGTGTAGTCCTGGATGGAATCAGGCAAATAAGGCATGTCTACTTGAAGATAACTTTTTTTTAAAAAAAAACCTATGTACAGTAGTTTAGGACGGGTTGTTGAAGCATTAACATGCCAAATCGTGGATTGGTGGAATGAGGGTTGAAGCAAAATGAAGAGATGCGATTTGCCGGAGGAGCTCTGGCAGGATCGCTATCAGTGGCGGTTGGGAGTCGTAGAGCGAACAGAAGCTCTATAGGAGCGACATGTTAGTTAGTTAGTTGGTTGGTTATTTGGTTAGTTAGTTAGTTAGTTAGTTAGTTATATAGTTAGGTAGTTAGTTCGTTGGTTAGTTAGTTAGTTAGTTAGTTAGTAGTTGAAGCGTTCTGTTTGCTCGGGACGCAGAAAAACTTAAAGGGAGACCAAGTTCATTCAAGGCATATTGTTGTGACTAGACGCACCTACCCCTAGAACGGACCTTCCCGCAGATATACCGAAGGGAAACGTTCTACCATCCAATCAAAGTCTGGTCACGGTCTGGTTAACTTTTCATAGATGAAATTTAATAACATTCTACTTTATGTATGAAATGTCTATGATTATTGCAATCATTATGACTATTTTTCACATATTTTTTAATAATAATCATGACTTGAGGATAGTAATCAGAGCGAGTAGAGGATATTTATTTACCTTTGCTTTTTAAATCGCAGTAACCATATTTTCGTCACGGTTTGAGCACGTAAATATCCATAACCTAACCTTCAAGACTTCATCTTCTTCTGTTGATTTATTTACCTTCAAGACTGAATTCAAACTAAATTCATCCTTGAAATTGATGAGCTCTTTTCGAAGAATGTAGACATCTCCTGTTTGCTTAAGAACATCCAACGGTTCCGAAGATGTCGATGACTTCAAAGTAAATCAATCATAATTTAAAAAAGTTCACGCTGACTTTTTTAAAAAGCCACGGAAATAGTATGATGATAGATATATACGTTTCGTGAGTCTCTTTGTCAAAATAAGAGGCCGAACTTTTTTGTGACCTTAAAAAAATGCACGAGGTAAAATTTATTGCAAAAAGATCAAACCTACAAAATGTATTGAAAAAACGCCTCTTACCTTCTGATTTTTGAGAGATTATCTTCTTATCGCTCTTTCCCATTTTGGCCAGTGAGATTCAACACAGTCGAGGGTAGAGTCTTAAAAGGCAATGATGTATCGGACGCTTTGAGGGTGACAATAATCTTTGAATATTTTAAAAAAAGAAAAAAATCGCGGTTTTACTGTTTCAATATTCTGTGATCAATCGCATATGGCATACTCAGGAAAAAAATTCCTCTAATAATCTAACAGTTATTTTTATGGGAGATTGAAGTCCGAAATTTAAAATCAGTAAACAGCTAATAAAGTTTTGATCAATAAGTAGATTGACAAATTAACACTTCTTTCAAACACGAAATCATCAGGGTAAAGAAGCTTTATGGCATCAAACAGTGGCTTGGTGGCTCATTTAAGTATCGAAAAATTCAAGGGGAAAAAAGGGAAACTACGTCTACTGTAAATAATCATAGGTTTATGACGCGCTGGTTATTTTCGTAGTGCTGCCAACCTCACTACTTTAATCTAAATTCTCATGAAAGGAAATATGTAAGTGTTGTGGTGACGACTTTCATCTCAACCTGTAACAGAAACAAGGAAAATATCAAAAATTCAGCATAAGTTGCCTATGAGAAGCTACATAAATATAAAATGCATTAATTTTAACATGCGCGTTAAAATAAATGACAAAAACAGGTGCGAAGGTGTCATAATGAACAGGACATGATTGAATTGATTTGATTAGGTAAAAGAACTTACTGGTCTTTCAGTTCCTACGTTGTCAACACGTAATTAGCAAAATGTAATGAGCATACGTCCTCAGTCCACACTAATTGAGGGGCTTGGAGGAAAAGGCGCACGAGTGCAGTTTCTGCTATTTCATGAAATACTTGATTAAATTTTCGAGATTACATGGATCCTTATGGCAGGAAGAAAGTTCAAACTGACTTTCCGATGGTTAAAAATTGGAATTTGGGAGCGAATTTTTCACAGAATATTCATTAAGACTAGTTTTACTTGAAATCATCAATATCTCATTTTTTTCCAAAAACAACAGCAATGCGCCTTGTCCTCCAAGCCCCTCAATTGAGATAGATGATGCCTTAATATAACTATTCTTCCTCTAGAGATATCTGTGATGCATACGTCAAATATTGAAGGTTCGTTGGCCCTTCCCTCGATCATTGATATACTCAGCACCGCGCCATGCATCATTTCAAAGAGTCAATAGAATTATGTGATAGTTTCCTATTTGAATATTGTACTCACGAAAAATCGCGTAATTCCCTGAGAAATCTGGTGGTCTTGCTAAACATCTCATGAATTAGCGAGTATTTACTGGAAAATGAGATTGTTTCTCTTGCCCCGTGAATATTGCGGGATTATGGCTCGGATAAACGACGGAGAAGTTTCCCGAATTTGGCACAGTCTCAAGTTGGCAACAATTGGCCGCTGAGGTTAGATGAGGGATAACATGATTTTTATTTGCTCCCTATGACCCTTATTGACACTCACCGCCATTTCCCTCTCTACGAGAGAGTTCATCTCCCCTTTTCTTCTACTTTTCGGTCGGGAAATCTTTCTTTAACCTTTTCATCGTGGCTCCAATATAACCGCCCGACGTTGAGTGATTGATAAAAGGATGAAAAAGTCTGAAATCATGCTCGTCATTGACTCAACTTTCCGCAGTTACTGGTCGTTTGTTCCTCTCATTCGAGTGCCGGGGATAAGTTCGTGTTTCACTTGTCATCTTTTCATTCGTCTGCTCCTTTGATTTAGTTCTTGTTTCCGTCAATTTTTCGATGTGTTTTGCTTCCTTATAACATGTATACGATTATGAACTTATCAAAAGGAATACAATTTGTAAGGAAAAGAATGTGCGCACGAAGCTCGTACGCAACAACTGAGAAACTTGCACAACATTGCTTGATGAACGTTTTTCAATCAGTCAGATACCGATGTGAAAGCAAAACTCGAAAAAGTCTGGTAGGCGCTATGCGTTTCACGTCGGCCGCTACTGACCGCACTGTATTTGACGCAATGCGTGAAGTATTCATGCAGTCTTGTAGGCGCTATGCGCCTCACGCCGCGCCGGCCGCTGCTGACCGCACTGAGTTTGGCGCAATGCGTGAAGTATTCATGCAGTCTTGTAGGCGCTATGCGTCTCACGCCGCGCCGGCCGCTGCTGACCGCACTGAGTTTGGCGCAATGCGTGAAGTATTCATGCAGTCTTGTAGGCGCTAATATGTGTTACATGCCGACCGCCGCGCTGAGGGCTTTTCCTTTTCATATCAAGTACTTGTCATTATTGCTCTCTGCGCCGCACCGCTCCATGCAAAATTGCGTGTTTGGTTCCTCTCTTTACTCGACTAATGAAAGGTGCTGTCACTTAAATCACCGAAAGACGATATAACTAGAAATTACTATACTCTCAGGAAATGAGAGATTTTGTCGCCTTTTCTCGTTTGCAATTTTGTTTCTGAATCCGATTTTTTTTTCATACCTACTTTTAAAAAAATTGCAAAATTTGCCGCCATGGGCCGCGGCCCATGTAGCCACCCCCTTAATCCGGCCCTGGCTTTAATGTTTAATTTTAGTCGTGAATTTTTCACAGAATATACCTCCGGACTAGTTTTAGTTGAGTTCACGAATACCTCATTTTTTCAAAAACTACACTCATGCGCCTTGTCCGCCTATGCGCAGTATTTCATGAAGTGTAGAGCCGTTCGATTTCGAAAACACGGCAATAAAGTTGGTCCCCTTCTGTTCTGCTGTACAACGCAAAAACGCCGCAAACGCCATTTCAAATGTTTTGGAAACAATGTACCATAGCAGAAAAACTTTCGCACCTTGAGACAATGTTTTCACAGAATTCTTTCGCAAATACTACCAAAAACTTAACCTGAAAGGGTAACCTGAACTTGAGGTACATGGGTAAAACAATTTTTATTTTTTAAAGTGTTAAGTTCCAAAAAACGCGGGAAAACCTTGATGGATTTACGGCGTTCTTGCTTAGCACGGCAGAGTTAGATGCAGTCCAACGATCCTGCAAAATGAAGTCTAATGATTGATGATTATATATTTTTGGACGTTCTGTTGATTCGCTTTAAACTATATACATATTCCACATGTCTCACTCTTCATCCACCCCTTCCCCCGAAATATGATTCTAGTATTGACGCTTTGGCGACAAAAGAGCCGTAAGTCCGTCGCGTGGATCGGCGCAACACGCAACGAGACGCGACTACCTCTTGCGGAACCCCTGCACGCCATTATTTCCGGATTTGCTCAGGTGAATTCCGATAAGCCGAAACAAATGTGGCTTAATCCTCGGGATTATTCGCGCGAGTAAGACTTTGCAGTGGCTTATTTTGACAGTCCGCTCGTAAGTTGCGTCTCCCCGTCAGAGCCCCTGACAAATCAAAAGGTATTTGCGGTTATGAACTCGCAAAGCCACTTCCTCCCGAATTTGATCGAGTTGTTCGTCAGCGTTGCCAACAGGCGCAAGGAGGAATATTGACGCAGAGTCGAGCCGACGATAACATGCAGCTAGAAACAATATATTTGAGAGACCCCACAGCCCACACCGATATCTTCCCTATGAATAGCATCGATACAGGTAAGATTAAGGTTTATGACCATTTCTGTGCCGGTTTTTCATTGGTCGCGTGAAAATAGGCTGACACGATGTTCTTACGGCCGTAAATAAACAAACAAGATGGCAGTTATCAGCAAAGCAAGTTTAAGGTCGCCACCCTTTCAGGGGATTTTAGAAGAAATGAGGGTTTGTCAACTCCCTGAAAGGGCTTTGGGAGGATAGGGGACTTTGGCGGCTAGGGGTCGCAGAGCGCCAAAGAGCGCTATAAAAGCGACTTTATACATACATACAAGTTTAAGGTTATGCACATCTTACACCCTCCTGGTGTGATAAAGGCGGGAGGCGATTTAATAGGGTTTTCATGTGTTTTTCATGTGTTATTCGTAAATATGCTAGTTTAAATTGTTGCTGCCGTATAATTGAAATTTTTTTTCAAATTTTAGCTTCTAAGCAATGTTATGTGCTCCTTCATAAGCCCTACAAATTCAAACTAACGAGCCTTAAACGTGAATCAATGTCGCGCTGTAACAACACATGTGTTGGAGTCTGTAGTTATTTACTGAGTTTCTTCAATATTTTGGTGAACGTTTGACGAATAACCCAATCGATGAACATGAAGTTACTTAAATTAATTGAGTGAGTCGAGACAGACCATCGCTCTGACACAACGACGGTGTAAGTCCGCAACTACTTATCTCGGACGTAGCAGACTTCCTGTCATACTTTATTTTTTAAATAAAAAACTGCTCAAGGGCAATTCTTAAAAACTGCCGTGATTTTTCCTCTCAGTGCCGAGAAAATTCTGCGAAAACTTCAAAGAATGGTGTCGATTTGCTCTCCTTTCAAAAAATGAAGTAGGAGCGGAGGTTTTCAAACACCGCAAACGAGATACGTGGTTGCAGACCTACGCCGTCGATAAAAGCTTATCCCAATTTCCACGTGAGCCTTATTCTGCCGTGCTAAGGAAAAACGTCGTATGAACATTCGAGAGTTGTCAAATTTCCCTTGATAAAACATGCATTTTTGACGAAATTCATGCATATTCTCCCTAAAATTCTCACATGTTTTAGATTAAATTGCGTACACAATTTCCTGGAAACTCTGGAAAAAATATTCACAATTTTCCCAGTAAATTTGGTTTTTATCGAAAGAAACTTGGCAACGTCTGAAGGCTCATACGGCGTTTTTCCTTAGCACGGCAGTATTTTCCGTATAACCTATGGCTTTTTTTTTTTTTTTTTTTTTTTTTTTTTTGCCAATTTCAAATAGCCTATCGGCTAATCCCACGCTTATTACCCCAGCCTCAGGTAGAGTACCTGTATAGCGAGAGTATGGACAGATGTGAAACTCCGAAAGTCCATCAGGCCTTCACCGATGCTTCTGCGAATAAAGTTAGGGCCTAGAAATGCAGCCAACCTATGAATTTCAATTATCCAGAACGATTTACTAATACTATTGTTACGAACCGTCGTTTATTAAGCACATGTTTGACTCAGTTTTTGCATAAATTTACTCAATTTTGCGGAAGAACGCTCATTTATGTACATTCTTGGCAATCTTGGTTAGAATTGGAACCTGCAGACTGGCAGTGAAATTTTGTGCGTTAGAAGTTGGTTAGAAGGGTGGCTGCACTTTTGGGCCCTAAGCCCTCCATGAAGCGATCTGTCCATACTCTCGCTATACAGGTACTCTAGCCTCAGGTGACCATTGCCTGAGACCATCAAACTCAGATCACCGGGCCGGGAATCGAACCCGGTAGCTCTTGGTCATAGGGCCAGCGCTACAACCACTACACCACAGGAATAATGTGGAATCAGAGATACGCCCTTACGTGAGAGGAGCGAGGAAACTTGGTAACGGTGGTCTCGGATTAAAACGTTGCCGACCGTGGGCCGTCCGCTGTCACCCCCAATTCAAGTTTAATCAATAGTCGTCGGGAGTCGAGTCTCGTTGGCGCTGCAACAGACGCAGCAGCCAGGCCAT